GTGTGGAAGAATGGGCCAAAATCACACCTGAGCAATGCATGCCACTAGTTTCTCCATACAGGAGGTGTCTTGGTGCCATTCCACATTGTTACAAATAACTTCATTTCTGGACATTTATGGTTTGATTTCTTTGTATGTATGGATCACTTGGGTTGTTACCCACATCTGGTGAAAATTTCATGTCATTAGCACCTCTAGCCATATATTTACTGAGAAAAATGGTGATGTGTTCAATACTTATTTTACCCGCTGTACATCACTACATCACCTTTATTAAAAAAAAATGATACTTGAGTCAAAGTTTGATTTAGTGAATGTTAAGATAAGACATCAGAGACAGGGGTGTCCAAACTTTTTTTTAGTGAGGGCCAAATACAGAAAAATGAACAAAGGGCTGGGCCACACACTACTAGAGCTGGGCGATATGGTCACTGTGGTTAGTCTTCGCATGGGTTCTAACTGGGGGTGGGGGTGGGGGGGGTGGTAAAGTTGTATCAAGGGGGTTTAAAGGTCAAGTCAAGTGAGGGGTTGGTTAACTGTATCATTTTGGTACAATGAAAACATAAATGGATCAGTTTTACTGTAATAACGAGATACATTCATACATCAATAATGTGTGTATTTCAAACTCACCTATGTGAAGAACATTGCACTCAGTGGGAGCAGTGATGCTGTCCTTTGGATTGAAGGATGGCTGACATGTTAGGAGAAAGTTTGGTGGTTGAGACACGAAGGACTTCACAGAGATGGGTATTGATCATTTTGGTTCTCAGTCTGCTTTTGTTCTGATTTAACAGAGAAAATGTTTGTTCACATACATATGTATGTTGAGCCGAACAGGCTCATCATTCTTTTTGCGTGGCATCTGAGTTGGAAAATCTGAACTCATGCTGCTCGATGCGTCGCATCAACCAATCCGAGAGACTCCTTTTTCCACGTGACAGTTTCCTGAATGTTGTCCACTAAACCGAAACAGACGAACAGGAGAGCTTTGCCTGAAATCGACCATCTGCAGTTGGATTTTCTGGCTGGATATATAAGTGCCGATGTAGGTCAGCTGGTCCGGACAAAAAAAAGTCAGTCAGCTGGCAGCTTAGGGAGCGGCAAAACTAACCGAACAAATCGCCTCTAAATCATCTAGTGAGTTACTTATCTGCTGTGTGCAATGTTTGCTTGCTCTTTAGTAAATAAATCAAAGCCATTTTCTTTATTTTATCTTTATTTCACCCGCCGAAGGCAGACGCTCCTCCTCCCACATTCCGCGGCTGCCGCTGCTGCTGCCTCTTGTCCAGTGTTGAAACGGAGAAGTGCAACAGAGTTGAGATAAAAATTCTTGTGCGGGCCATATTCAATTATATTTTCAGAATTTGCTGCGAGCCAATAAAAACGGTACGTAGTTTGGACACCCCTGGGTTAGTGGAACTTGTTGCAAAATCATAAGAAAATGGAAATGCTCAACCTTTGTCTTTGTCAAAGGAAATAAATAAATAAATAAATAAATAAATAAATAAATAAATAAATAACATGGAAATGCTAGATTCAGACACCACAAATATACCTCCTGAAGATCCATTTTTTTGGACCACATATAAAATAACCGGTTAGACGTGACCAACATTTAAGACAGAGGTTATTATTTATCTTAACAAATAGCTGCATTAAGAACAAATGAATTACTGTTGAACAGTTGAATGCAATGTCTATGGTGATGCAAATATAAGGTGAATGATCAAAATGATGGAAGCTCCATTATTTCAAACCATCTAAATGAACGTTGTTTATACCGCTTTTCAACTTTTGTTCACCATTTAAAGCATTTTACATCAGTACAGACATTCACTTATTTTAAATAACGTTCATACAGCACTAAATATACCTTGTGCTTTATCATGTATGCACTAAAACATTGATGGTTTATTATTTTCTTTACTTATTTTGACAAGTAAAGTCTTTTAATAAGAAACGGTTCAATTTTTTCTGAAATACAGTTGCCTTGAGAACTCCATTCTGAGGAATATATGTACATACATTTAAACACCATTTACTGTTAGAGGTCTACTTATGACTCTACAAACTGAGGAGAGCGTCTGCTAAACTGAGTGACATCAAAGGAAGAAAAATAGGTCAAGGTATTTGTTTTTAGGTATTTTTTTAGGGTACACTGCCCAAAAACAACCAAGGACTGCATACCTGAAAGTGCCAGAGTGTGCAAATTCTGAAATACACAGAAATGTGCAGACATTGCACATTGTGCACAGGTGTGCAAAAACTGCCTGGATCATTAAAAATAGTGCGTAAACAAACAAAAAGAAAGTAGAAGTTAACAAAGGCGTGCTAGCTGCTGAAGTAAAGGCACTCTCTGTGACTGATGACCACATTTTGAAGCAGATGTTTGCCTCTTCTTGGCGAGCTGGTGGCATTCCTCTTTACCTTTTCTATCACCCAACTGCCACGTCTTTCCTTGATGGACGGCCTCAAACAACCATTGACCTGCTAAGTAAAGCAAAAACCGCTCAAGCATTTCTTCGAGAGGATCGGGGCGAGACAGAGGTGGACAAGGCTGTTGTGATGTGCTGTAGACAGAGAGAAGATGTTGTTATTGAAGGAAAAGAAATCTGGTTTTGAGCGGTGAGAACCAGGAAAACGGGGGGAAAGACATTTCTCCACTCCATCTACCTTCTCCCCTCCTCCTCCCCAGTGGTATTAATTAGCAGCAGCAGATGAGTGGAGAATAGGAGCCTGAAGGGAGAACAGGTTCATGTCAGGTTAGTGTTCGCTGTTGTTGGCCCCTTCTCTGGTCTTCTGCTTTCCTCTTTTCCTCTGCCTCCTCTCACATGCACACAACACACACAAAATGAGGTCTTACAGACTGAAGAAGCACCAGCTTCCTCTTACCAAGACTAACTCCACAAGTATTATATATTTGACATGCAAAAGTTCCCATTCCAGTGTAAAATTTAGACTTTAGGCTGAAAATGTCTGCTCCGCTTATTTAAACAATGTATTTATTTCTAAAAGCATCTCAGATTGGGACACCGCACAACCATTCAACCTCACAGACAGGCAAAATCATGACTCCAGTCTTGTATTGTCCCGCTAACTGTTCACAGTGAATTGTGCTTCAGTTTCCTCTCTCAATCATCAATTTCAGATGTTTCTGACAAAACTTGATATATCACAGTTTTAATCAATGTCTGCCTCTGCGGTGTAACTGCTGGCATTTCTTTCCTCTATAACTCTCATAGACGGTGTATTTTTTACCCTGACATGGTTCGGCTTCACAGTCCCACAAAAATACCACAGCCGCTCTTAASTTCACATTATTGTTAACTTTGCAACTCCAAACCCGCTTCATATTCAAAAAGARGCTCGTTCCTCAGGTTGGACTGAAGATAAAGCTGCTTAAAAGGCAAATAACTAGTGCTGCAATCAACACTGCAGAAGGGGACCATAGAACAGGCCTTAAGCATTTCTGTTAGCTATTTTTGGAAATAATTTAAAAAATGACTACTTACTGCTACRTATTACTAACACTACTGCTGTTACCACTGATGTTCATGATGTGATGGCAAAATGGAACAGGGGATAGATTTGACAGATTGAGGCCTCCTCTGCAGTAATGAGGGCGTTGCTCCAGTCATGAAGAAGCTGAGCATGAAGTGTCAAGTTCCAACCCTCACCTATTGTCATAATGTGTGAATCATGACCAAAACAACTGAGACWGGAGGGTTTCTGGGTGTTCCTCCTGGACCTGTTGCTTTTGCAAATCAACCACTGATGAGCAAAATAAAATGTATGGATGAGGAATGTATCAATTGGCTTCCTGGACAAAAAATATTGCAAATACTAAACAAAAAAAACCTGTCTGTTTAAATTAATATTATAAAATGTATCCAATATAAAACAAATATTTAAAGTAATAATTAAAAGCTTAACTGAGCCATTTTCAGGTAATCTGCTTAGTGAATGTAGAAACATTTGCAGAGCTGGCAGCTTTGTCTTTGCAGCTGCTTTGTTTTCTTTCAGTGTCTTCAGAAGTCATGTTTGACCTAAAGCAGCTGCCTCCGAGTTGACTTTTTACTGTTTGTCCAGTATCAACAGCATTTAGTCTGCTGTAAAATCTGTTTTAATTTCATTTTAGTTTTCTAATCTCTGTCTCTGTTTCACAAATCATTGCTCTGTCATGCTGTTTTAATCACTAGGTTTGCACTCTAGTGTTCACTCTACRGTTATAAAATATAAGAGTGACACAAGAAGTTGGTTATTTCTAGTTTTGACCRTCCACCATTTGCAAACATGATTTAAAGGCAGCATCACCAAGAGARTAGTAACAAATATTATGATTTTTAAGCTAAATGTCATGTTTCTTACATGTTAAAAAATTGGGTGCATCAGGGTAAACTTTATTTTTCCTGTAATAAAAATTTATACCTATAAAATACAACAAAAATCATTCCACATCTTCCACTTGGTTGAATAATTAAGATGCATTTGCTCTACTTGTTGTCTTGCCTGGACGCTTAGGACTTGGAGACTAGAAAGATATATTCTCTTATAATTTGGATCTTATGACTCTCTTGAGTATTGGGTTTTTTTGCAAGGCACTGTAAATATTTTTCAATTTAAGACGGAACTAAAATGACAATTAGTTTTTAGTTTGGTGATCACAATGGCTCTGTACCCTTTCTGATCTTTTTTTTTTTATTGTGAAGGAGTACATACTTGTATTAAGGTATAAATGTAGCCTTCCTGTCTTAAAAAAGTATATTTATCATCTAATGGCTGTACAACAATATTGATTCTCTCTCTTTATTTYCACCATTTTCCATGCAGAATTCCATAAGACACAACCTGTCCTTGAACAAGTGTTTTCTCAAAGTGCCTCGCTCCAAAGACGACCCTGGAAAAGTGAGTATCTCCTTAACAACGTGACATGACTGAAAAAAGCTCAGGCTGAATTATGGTGCTTCATGCAGTCAAAAAAAAAAAAAGGAAATAAAAAAAGAAATTCCAAGTCAACAAACTTTCAAACTGGGCTTTTCAAGTATTTAGTCACACACGTGGACACAGTTTTGCATCAGGGCATCATAGACACTCACCTGTTTTTAAATATTTTTTTTACTTGCTTTTTTTTGTCACACACACACACACACACATACATAGTATGTGCACTTAAAAGCAGTTTGTAACTCCATAACCAGCTGTGCTTGAATGCCTAATGCAGCTTTCTCTGTGATCTGTGGCTCCTTCAATATTGATTCTGCCAAGTAATAATATGGCACAGAGAGCAATGAATAATAAGTATATGTAGGTATACACCCTCAGATACAAGGCCTTTCATGCATCTGTTATGCTTTATTAGAGTTTGTTTCTGTCCTTTCTTTCCTCTCTTGGAAACAATCATAGGAACCTTTAGATATGTTTCAGCGCTGCTGGCTCTGCTGTCGTTAGGAAACCTTCTTGCCAGGGCCACTTCTGCGGCGCCGGTTTGATAACAACAATTTGTCAAGTTCTTGTTTGTGCTGAATCGAAGGACTTGCTCAGATGGGGCGAAAGTATATAATTAAGGTTGATCACTGAAGCTTGTCTTTACATTATTTTTTTTTAATAAACGCTGAAATGTCTGCGCTTCCTCGCGTCTCAGGATTAATGTGAGAAACAATGCACAACTTACGTGGAAAGGCGAAAAAAAAAAGCTAAAACTTTTCAACAAACTCTTAAAACTCTGCTCATTTTGTTGGGGGATAGGATGAAGGGAAGGATTTTTTTTTCTCCTGGCTGTGGGGATTTTGGAGCCATTGAAAAATGAATTAGAGGGGAAGAAGGTTTAAATAATTCAGGCGAAATCCTTGGAATTGAGTGAAGGCTTATAGTGTGGAAAGGCACAACGAGAGCGGCTACCCCCCCTGATTAGCCGGACTTGGACCTGACCAGCACCTTAATTCATGACGTGGATCGAAGTGGTCGATACTTTGGTATGAGAGGGAAGAAGCGGGTGGGAGGTGGGGGGGTCATCTCTGTGTGAAGAAGCTGAATGTACATGTTTGAAGCCACAGAGAGAAGGGAGACGTTAAATCATGCATGTGCTAACGTTAATTGGCTGTGTACAGCTCAGTGATGTGGGACTGAGAGACAGAGGGAGAAGAGACAAGAATAAGGGAGGTAGGGAGGGGGTAGAAGTTGATGGTTGAACTCTGTGTGTGTGTCTGTGTGTGTGTGKTTATATCCTAGATGAACCTCTTGAATTCTGTCTGCAGCTTTAGACCTCAGTGGGAGGAAAGAGTAAAAAATAAAATGTAACCAAAAAAAAATCAAAGCAGATCCCTTCAAATTTCATTGCATGTTTTAATTGGAGAGACGGTTGTGTTTTAATTGTGTGTATCAAATGGATTGGATTTTCTGGAGAGAGAAAGCAGAAGTGTGCAGCACAGGAAAACTAAGAGTGGAATGATTTGATACAGCGTTGGTAGAGAAACAGACGCATTTGGTTTATTGAATGCAACAGATCCATGTAGCGAGAGTTCCTCTCGGCAGAGTGACTAAAGCTGCCTCAGTGAGAACAAGTGAGGGAAAAAAAAATAATTTATCAGTGTGCATAGTAAGCATAGACACCTTTACTAAACGTCCAGATGTAAAATGTGTGAATATATTTTGGATTCAACTATACACTTATGGATTAGGGGTTTCCTCAAGTGAAGGAGTTCAAGTACATAGGAGCCTTGTTCACAAGTGATGGTAAGATGGAGTGGGAGATGGATTGATGGATTAGGGCCTCGCTGCAATCATGAGGGTTTTTCTCTGGTCTCTTGTGGTAAAGAAGGAGTGGAGCCAAAAGACAGAGCTCTTGATTGACGATTCATTTGGAAAATAATAGACTGACCACTTTAGTTTGAGAGGAAGTTGCTGTCTTTATTACAGGTTATGTGGCACTTTAAAGTGTTTTTGAGAAGTAGGCTTAAAATGAAAAAAAGGTAATTGATACAATTATAAAAGACTATAGTGATGCAGATTTTGAAATCGTCTGTTTTTATTTTATTTATTTATTTATTTATTTATTTTACAAAGATGAGCTGAGCCAAAGGGTGGGGAGGAGGTCTGGAAGAATACAGAACACGTTTTCCATCAAGTTCGCTAAATTGCATTTCTTGTGGTCACCATTCAGGGTTCCTACTGGGCCATAGACACCAATCCTAAAGAGGACACATTACCCAGCAGGCCGAAGAAGAGACCACGCTCTGGAGAACGAGTAAGCACGAACAGACCCTTTTATATTCTTCTCTTTCAGCCATAGAGCACCGTGTTTTAAAAGCCTCAAATAATGTCACGGTGTATAGTCTGGTGCGTACTACATCTTGTAAGTACTGTATTGGGGTGCACCGATTGCAGTTTTCTTGCTCTAGAAACAATTTAAACTTGTTTTAAATGGACAACAGCTCTCTCTCACAGCAGAGCAAAAATGGACAGTAGCTGATTTTCAGACCTTTGTTGAGGTAAATCAGTGGATAAGATCAGCTTCTCATGTAAGTATTGATTCATTTATCGGTGCACCCCTAACAGGACAAACAGCATTTCATAGGGTTACCCCTAAATTTTCAGTGTCTCTTTGTAACTTGACACTTATATAAAATTTCTCCGCCTGTGCAGTCACATGACGCAGGGTAAATAAACCTTTGACACACTGGGCAGCTGTAATACTGAATGTTGTGAAGCTTATTATATTGCCAGAGACATTTGGTGAGGCATTTTTGCCATATCAGCCAACACCGAGGCAAAGAAATTCTCTAATGAGCTTATTAATAAAAAAAAAATCAACCAAATGTAATACTCTGGAATGACAATAAACTAGACATTACAGTGATTGTCTTAACTATAAAATATGTTAACCAGAGTATTTACGAGTTTTATTTGTGAGTGTAACACTTGTAACACTCCATTCCAAGTGTGACCTTGTTATATTATCACTTATTTGYTTTCATGGTCTCAAGAGAATTTTAATACCAGTGTAAGCAGGTTGCTGTTGAAGAAATTATCATGTACTACAATGAGCGTTATCTGAAGAAACCTTCATGACAATCTGAATACGCAAGGACAAAAATAAGAGGAAAGTATAAACAATGCTGCTAGGCCAAGCACATGCTACTTTAAACTGTTGCTTCTTGTGGTCCAGTTGATGAATGTAAAATAACTAAATTCAAAGAGTTTAGTAAGATTTTACCATGAGTGGACAATGTAACTTCAACTATGAGTGATGGAAACTTGCTAAATTATTTAACAGTGAAGGGAAAATAAAATAAAACTGAATATTTTGTTTGTTTGCAGCCTGCTTGGTACAGGAYTTATTAGTGCAAAACAAATGTAGAGTATTTCTGGTTTATATTTTAGGATCTACATTACAGGATGACACTGTGAATCTACTGCTACAGAGACCCTAAAAAAATCACTGTTGTAGCAACAAAATAACCACCACTAATGCAGCATTACCACCTAATAAAATTTACCGTATTTATTCAAGTATAATACATAAAATTGAATCCATAAAATCATCCATAAAGTTGGGGGGTAGTACTATACTCAGATAAATATTTTTACTTATGTATTTTAACTGAAATATCCAGAAAGAGTCCAGAAATGAGTCCAGAAATGAGACCGCGTCGTAAAAAGCAGTTGAAACAAGCTTACCTCTGACAGTCCGTCGTGATTCAGAGCGAGATAGTAACAGATCCAAGCAGGCGACATGATGTGAAA